GAGCAACAAGAAGAAAAAAGAATTCAATACAATGAGGATAATATAGGTCTGTGGGACAACTACTAGAGGTCCAACATTCACATCATAGGGATGCCAGAGGAGAAGAGAAAGAGCAAGAAATTGGCAATCTATTTGAAAAAATAATAAAAGAAAACTTCCCTAATTTGGTGAAGGAAATAAACATGCAGGTCCAGAAAGCACAGGGAGTCCTAAACAAAGTGGATACAAAGAGGTCCACTCTAAAACACATCACAATTAAAATGCCAAAGGTTAAAGATAAAGAGAGAATCTCGAAAGCAGCAAGAAAAAACAAGTTAGTTACCTATAGGGAGTCCCCATAAGACTGTCAGCTGATTTCTCAAAAGAAACTTTGCAGGCTAGGAGGGATTGGCAAGAAATATTCAAAATTATGAAAAGAAGGGACCTATAGCAACAACTGATCTACCCAGCAAAGCTATTATTTATCATCCAAGGGCAGATAAAGAACTTCCCAGACAAGAAGACACTAAAGGAGTTCATCATCACCAACCATTATTATATGAAATGTTAAAGAAACTTATTTAAGAAAGGAAGATAAAACCATGAACAATAAAATGGCAAAAAATACATATCTATCAACAACTGAATCTAAAAACCAAACTAAGCAAACAAGAAGAACACAGGCAGAATCATGGCTACAGAGAGTGGTCACAGATGGTTGCTAGATGGAAGAGGGGTGTGGGGGGATTGGGTGAAAAAGTGAGGGGATTAAGAAGAAGAAATAGGTAGTTACAGAATAGGCATGGTAATGTAAAGGACAGTGTAGGAAATGGAGTAGCGTAAGACTCACATGCATGACCCATGGACATGAACAATGGTGGGCAGATTGCCTGAGGGAATGAGGGGTGCTGGGTGGAGGGAGTAAAGGGGGAAAATCAGGACAACTGTAATAGCATAATCAATAAAATATAATAAAAATTAACTCAAAATGGATCTGGACATAAATATTTAAGGTAAAACTATAAAACTCTTAAAGAAAATAGTAGTATAATGTTATGACCTAGGTTTGGGCAATAGTTTCTTGGATATGATACCAACAGAGCTGTCTGTCAGCAAAATAAAAAAATAAATAAATTTAAAAACTCTTGTGTTTAAATAATACTATCCAGAAAATGAGAGATAACCCACAGAATAGGAGAATATACCTAGAAATAATATATATGATTTATCACTGATATAAAGAAGTCTTAAAGCATCAATTAAAAAAAAAGACAAATAACCCAATTAAAAAATGGGCAAAGACTCTTACAGATATTTTACAAGGAGGATTTTTACAAGTGGCCAATATGCACATGAAAAAATGCTCAACATAAATAATCATCAGGGAAATGCAAATTTTAACCATGATGAGATAGTACTTCACACCTACAAGGAAGACTGTAATAAAAAAGACAAATAATAATGTGTATTGATAAGGGTGTGGAAAATTTGAAACCTTTGTACACTACTGGTTAGAATATAAGATGGTGCAGCTGCTTTGGAAAACAGCCTACAAGTTCCTCAAATGTTTACACACATAGTCACCATATGACCCAGCAATTCCACTCAAGATAAAACATATGTCCACGTAGAAATTCATATACAGATGTTCACTGCAGTATTATTCATAAAAGCCAAAAAATAAAAATAACTCAAATGTTCATCAACTAATGAATAGAGAAACAAAACTGGTATATCTATACACTAAAACATTATTTGGCTGTAAAAGGGAATGAAGTATGATTCATGCTACCACATGAATAAATCTTGGAAAAATTATGCTAAGTGGCAGAAAGAGCCACATATTGTGATTCTGTTGATATAAAATGTCGAGAATAAGCAAACCTACAGGAATAGAAAGTGCTGCATAATTAGTGGTTGCCCAGGACTGGAGAGGAGAGGGAATGGGAAGTGTTCGGTGATGAGTAGAGGCTGCGTTTTTGGAATAATAAAAATGTTGCAGAATTAAACTGTGGTAATGTTTGTACAAATCTGTGAATATACTAAAAATCATTGACTTGGACACTGTAAATGAATGCATTTTATGTTATATGAAATATGCCTCAATTTGTTGGTTATATGTGGGCTGGGATTTCTCCTGAGAACTGTCATGTTTGCAGAGAAGATGGGTCATGCTGGGCTGGGGCTGTGTCATCTGAAAGCTTGACTGGCAGGAGGACCTGATTCCAAGATGGCTGTCCCACTTTCACCAGCTGTGAGCAGAAGACCTGTGTCAGGTCATTCTTTCCCTTTGGTGGCCTGAGTGTTCTCACACTGTTAGCTGGGAGATCACTCCTGCAGAGGGAGTGATTCAAGAGAGCGAGGTGGAAAAGAGGTTTAGTGCTTTCCATAACTTACTCTTAAATGTTACACATGGTTGTCTTATCAAAATTCTTTTGGTTATACAAGGGAGTGAAACCCAGAGGAAAAAGCACTGGGGCCTCTCCTGGAGGCTGGCTTCCCCAAGTGGAGATTACAATCTTGCTGTCTTCCAGTGACATCAGCTTTCTTAGCTACTCAGCACTGCCGTAATTAAATACATTAGTACCTTGTGGTTCCTGAGGCCTCTGAAGGAGCATTTCAGTCTTCTGAATGAACAAACATACACACCATGCACACACATACACACTCATATAAAAATATAAATGTATGGATATAAATATATATAATACATACAAATGAATATATGTTACTTTTCAAAAGGTCTATGCATTTTCAGGATTGATTTTTGTTCATCTGGTTTTTCTTTTTCTTCCAAATATTATTTATTCTTACATTCACTCGGCAGAATATATGAATCCATAAGAAGTTCCTTTCCTTGCTGTAGTCCTGTAGCTAAGAGTGCAGAGATCCTGTCCCTCACACTGAGGAATCATGAAAAGCACAAATGAGATCCTGATCCAGAGACCACCCTGTGATGGCTTTCAGATCAATGTAGTGACATCTGCTTGTGTTAGGCAAGATGAAGTTCTATTCTGTTTGTCTACTGATATTTTTTAAGTAATTCAGTTAATCAGGGTTTTTGAAGAAAACAGGAGACCTTGTGACAATCCCCAAAGGCTCATCTGTACATAGGTTTTCTCCCATGTGATTTGATAGGGAGATGTTCAAGGTTGGGCTGCCTTCACCCTGATCTCGTGTAAGATCATTTATTGCCCTCTTTACATGAGTATTGTTTTGTCCACCCGCAAAGCAACTGAATATAAATCAGAAGCTTTCTATCTGGCAAAGAAGGAACACAGCAGTACCCAATGAGTGAATGCAGGAAGTAGGGGAAGGAAAATAGGGCTCCCTAAATGTTGTGACTGCAGGACTAACATTAATGGAACCTGTAGGGAACTGCTTCCCATGGTGTGGAATTGTAGCTCAGCCTCCACCTGGAAAACCAGTGGGGAGTGAGTGGCATGCAGGACCATGCCCATGGAGAGGTTTTCTTGTGGGGAATCAGGCTTGCATTGTACCTAGACTGCTATGAGACTTGCTTTTCCTGAAACTCCCTCACCCTGAATTGAGGCAGAAAGGGCTTACTGCAACTTCCTAAAATCTGAGCTAAACCTCCATGTGTGGAGTGTGACCGGTTCAACCACTTTTCCCCTTGGTATGCAATATCCTTCTCATTGAACTACTTAGCAACATTCTTTCTTGTGTTATCTGTAAAAGGTAATCCCCTGCAGTGAACCTGTGAGTAGTAAATGAGGACTACCTTCCACGAAATGTATGCAGAGAGGCAATAAAAGTCGGTCCAGGCAGGGACTAAGCTCTCTGGCCCTCTCACCCTCTCTGAGAGTGGCCATGCCATCCCTTTTTCTCCATAGGACTTCTGTTGTCCATGTGTATTTGTTCATGAGCAGCCACAACAGACATGGATCCTGTGGGCCAGGATCCACCAAAGGAGCCCCCTGAGTGTCTGATGTCAACATGAGATGTTTATTCTTTTCAGGTGTTTTCATGAGTCTGATCAGAGATCTCACCCAATAATTGCTGGTAAATCCAATGATTCATTCATACATCACACCAGTCCCCTGATGATGGTAGGAGGGAGCCCAGGCATCAGTTCTTGGGTTCCATTGCTGGTTTGCTACTAACTCTGTGACCTTGGGCATATCACTTCCCTGCTGTGAGCCTCATCCTACTCTGTAAAACTAGGGCTGGACTAGCTCCAAAATTCTCAGACATTGAGATCCAGTGACAACAAGAGTTTCCATATGGGGTTTCCATATGGGGTAATCATTTTTTATTGTGGCCAAATAAAGCTATTAAAGAAAAAAGCTTAGCATCTCCAATGACTATAAATTCATTATAAAGAACATTTGACAGCCCCCACTCAAAAAATAGAAAAAGCAAAATCTCAGTGTAAATATATTTCTTAAAAAATAAACTTAGTTTTGCGGCCCTTGAGGGTATAGCTCAGTGGATTGAATGCCGTCCTGCAAGCCAAAGAGTTGCTGGTTTGATTCCCAGTCAGGGCACACTCCCAGGTTGTGGGCCAGGTCCCCAGTAGGAGGTGCATGAAAGAAACACAGTGATGTTTCTCCCTCCCTTCCCGTCTCTAAAAATAAATAAGTTCTGTAAAAAATAAAATAAAAATGTGATAATTTAAACAAAATGAAACAAAAACTTAGTTTCGTAAAAAGGTTAGTGTTTCATTTCTTTACAGACTTTGGAAAAATTCATGGAGCAGCATTTGGAAACCCAGGGATGAATCTCAGGGGCCCCTTCTGTTACAGGACAGGAAATAGGGCGCTGAGCAGGTCTGCCTAGGGCCTGCTCACAGTGTGTGGGTTCTTGACTTCGTGCAGGAAAGATTTCACAACATGAGTCCAGGTCATTTTGAAAGCACATTCATTAAAGGAGGTGACAGTGAAACAAGAAAGAGCTTAGGTTAGAAGAAGTATCAGGAAATAGACTAGGTGAGGCTCCTTTGGTTCTCTAGAAATGTTATAGGAAAGACGTGAGCCAAGGCAGAGCTCCTATCAACTCACTGTGAAGTCAGAGAAAAGGGGCCTTGGAATTAGGTTCAGGGGGTTAGCTTGGGAACAGCTGCCACTTTCCACTGCTCCTCTGGTAGCGATTCTCCTGAGGACCCTTAGAGTCCTGGAGTGCATGCCTGTGAGAGAAGAAGAAGAGACGGGAAAAGCAGGGGTGAGCTCCTGGGAAGGAAAGCACACACTGGGTACTTCCTCTTGAGGTTTTTTTGTTGTTGTTGTGTGTGTGGGTTTTATGTGTGTGTGTATTTTCTTGATTATGCTATTACAGTTGTCCCATTTTTTTCTCCCCTTTATTCCCCTCCACCCTGCTCCTCTTTCCCATCAACACTCCCCCCAATTAGTTCATGTCCATGGGTCTTACATTTAAGTTCTGTGGCTTCCCCATTTACTATAATATTCTTAACCTCCCCCTGTCAATTTTGTACCTGCCGATTACGCTTCTTATTCCTTGTACCTTTTTCCCCTATTTTCCCCCTCCCGCTCCCTCACTTCCTACTGATAACTCTCCATGACCTCCGTTTCTGTGATTCTGTTCTTGTTCTAGTTATTTGCTTAGTTTGTTTTTGTTTTTGTATTTTAGGTTCAATTGTCGATAGCTGTGAGTTTGTTGTCATTTTAGTGTTCATAGTTTGATCTATTTCTTACATAAGTCCCTTTAACATTTCTTATAATGAGGGCTTGGTGATAATGAACTTGACCTTATCTGAGAAGCACTTTATCTGCTCTTCCATTTTAAGTGAAAGCTTTGCTGGATAGAGTAACCTTGGAGGTAGGTCATTGCTTTTCATGACTTTCTTTCCAGCCCCCTTTGCCTGCAAGGTTTTTTTTGAGAAATCAGCTCAGAGTCTTATGGGAACTTCTTTGTAGGTAACTAACTGTCTTCCTTTACTGCTTTTAAGATTCTCTCCTTATCTTTAATCTTGTGTAATGTAATTATGATTTGTCTTGGTGTGTGCTTCCTTGGGTCCAATTTCTTTGGGACTCTGGGCTTCCTGGACTTCCTGGAAGCCTATTTCCTTTTCCAGAATGGGAAAGTTTTCCTACATTATTTTTTCAAATAAGTTTTCAATTTCTTTCTCTTCCTCTTCTTTGGCAGCCCTATGATTTGGATGCTGGAGTACTTAAAGTTGTCCCAGAGGTTCTTAAACCTCTCTTCATTTTTTTTTTTTAATTCTTGTTTCTTCATTCTGTTCTGGTTGAATGTTTATTTCCCTGCTCTACTCCAAATTGTTGATTTGTGTCCCTGTTTCCTTCTCTTTGCTGTAGGTTCCCTGTACATTTTTCCTAATTTCACTTTTCATAGCCTTCACTTTTTCCTCTATTTTGTGACCATACTCAACCATTTCTGTGAGCATCCTGATTACCAGTGTTTTGAACTCTGCATCTGGTAGGTTGGCTATCTTCTCATTGCTTAGTTCTTTTTCCAGAGTTTTGATCTTTTCTTTCATTTGGGCCATATTCTTTGTTTCAATACTCCTGTTGCATTGGAAGGGGCAGATCCTTAGGTATTCATCAGGGCAGGGCAACCTGATTCACTGCATTGTTGTGCTGTATGTAAGGGAGGGGTCAGAGAGGGAACAATTCCACTTACTCAGCTCTCACCCTACTTTCAGTCACTTCTGCTACTCATAAGTGATTTTGTTCCTTCTGGTGCTGATTCCCAGATGGGTGGTTTTGCATACACTCTAGGATGTTGTGGTGTCTCCTGTGAGACTGGGAGTTTATTCTGGCTCCACAGCCCCCACAGGTTTTTACAGCTGGAGGTTTTGTGGCTTTAGTCCCGTGCTGGAACACTGGATTGTGCAGTCTGTCTTGTTCCCCAGTTGTTCCTGCACTCAAATGTGGATCTCAGCTTATCTGCACTCAAATGCGGGACTGCCAGGTCCACCAGCCACTGCCTGGCCTGCCTGGTCCACCACCTGGCCACATGTTCTCTCTGCCCAGCTGCCTGTCTCCACCACCCCCTACCAATCTGGATGAATGTTTCTTCTTTAACTCCTTGGTTGTCAGACTTCCATACAGTTTGATTATCTGGCAGTTCTGGTTGCTTTTTATTTTTCAATTTGTTATTGTTCTTCTTTTGCTTATGCAAGGAAGCAGAGCATGTGAACCACACCTCCATCTTGGCTGTAAGTCCTCCTTCCTCTTGAGGGTTTTAGAGGCTGGGAGCTAGGGGAGGTCTTAGGGAAGGATCTCCATAGAATATCACTAGGGCATGGAGAAAAGGCCACCCTGGGGGCTAGGTCCTGTGCCAGTTTGCCCATCACTAGGCACCTATTGCTAGGTACCCAGGGCTTTCCACTCTGGTGAGCTTCTGTATCTGGCTATAAATTGCTCACCCAGTTTGTTTAGCTATCTGTCTTAGTTTCCCCATTCCACTTGCCAAGGAAGTTTCCCAGCTTCTTACTATCCTTTTTACTTCCATTCTGACATCCTAGGACTCTCCCACAGTGCATGTGGCTCTGACAGTGCTGGCATTCAGCACTTTCTGGTGCCCCAAGGCCTTCCCCAAGCAAGCCTTATAGTACAAGGCTCACAGAGCAGCTGGACAAAGCTGCTCAGCCCTCCCTCAGGGTACTATTCCAAGCCTGGGTCCCCAGGGTTCACTCAGCTGCCTGCTCACACCAGATACAGTATTAGCTGGTAACGTTTCAAGTTTTTCGATTTTATAAGGAAACTCCATAAGGTGGAAATGCCAGATCAAATATGTACCCAAAGTGTCCTTTTGCCTATTTGTTTGCCTTACCAGCACTCTGCCCTGCCTGATGTTGTACGATGATTCTAGACCCAGGGAATAATTTACCACTCCCACTTAGAATTCTCCCTTGGGCTCCATGGCCCAAACCCTGACAGCCGCTGGCCGGTTCTATGGACTGAACTGTGTTCATCCCCAAATCCATGTGCTGACTCTCAACCTCCAACATGATGGTATTTCGAGATGGGATCTTTGGGAAGTAATTAGGGTTAGATGAGGTCATGAAGGTGGAGCCTTCACGATAAGATTAGTGTTTTTGTAAGAAGATACAACAGAATGTTTTCTCTCTCTCTCCCTTCCTTTCCTCCTTGCTGCTCCACAGGCTCAAGAATGAGGTCCTGTGAGGACACAGAGATAACAGCCACCTACCAGCCAGGAAAAGGCTCAGCAGGAATCAAATTGGCCAGCACCTTGATCTTGGACTTCCCAACCTCCAGAACTGTGAGAAATAAATGTCTGTTGTGTAAACCACCCAGTCTCTGGTGGTTTGTTGTGACAGCCCAAGCTGACTAAGGCAGCCAGGCTCCTCAGAGTCTGCTCCCTGCTCAGCTAACTTTCCGGCCCCACCTCCTGCAAATTACCCCTAAACCAGGCTGCAATGATTACAGTCCCCATGTCTTTCTTCCTTACCCTTCCCCTTCACAGACTGGCCTGACTCCTGTTCATCGCTCAGATTTCTCCTTCAATCTTAAGTCCTCTGGGAAGCCTCCCTGGCTGCAAAAGCTGGGTACGTCACCTCTCCAGGATGTTCCCATGCACACGGCCACCCTAGTTTGCCCATCAGAGGGCAGAGGTTGCATCTTGCTCACTGTCATTCCAGCACAGTGCCTGGAATGTGGGAGATACTCAGTAGCTACTTGATTAATGAGTGGGTAAATAAGTGTACAAAACTAAGCAAGGCAACGTCTTGTTGTAGGAGTTTGGGGACTTGCAAAAAGGGGCTATGCTATGGGGTTGCATCCTTCCCCTCCCCTATGCAGTGCTCCTCAAGTGACCTTATGCAGGGATTCTGGGCTGCCACGAGGCCTGCAGATTGGGTCTGTCATGTGCTGAACACTAGAAGAACTAGGGATTCTGAGTCTGGACAGAAGCCTTGGGTTTCTGTGTGGTGAGGAAGGCCAGGAGCATACTATTTCCAAAACTTCTGAACCCTGCTTTGTGGTAACTGGAGCAGAAATCCTATTTCATAGAAGTCAGAATTTTTAAATAAAAAGGAGGTAGTTTCTACTACCTCAGAAGGAACAGCTTTCTACAATCAAACTGAGGACTGGAGGTACATATTAACTGAGGCCTTGCTGCGTGTCCGTGCTTTCTAAGGAAGGGTGTAGCATCGCAATGGCCACAGGAGGAAACTGCCTCAGGGCATGTGTGAGCTAGAACTTGTGGGGAGGCGCCCTCTAGTGGCTCCATGGTTGCCCACTAGAATACCAGGGGCCAAGCCCAGGACCAATTTGTAGATCCGGGAGCCTCCCAGCATCCAGGAGCCTCAGGCAATGTCATCAGCAACTGGTGTCTCCCTGCCTGTTTTTCAGACCTGCCTTCCCCTCTGTCAGCTTCTTGTCAGACAGATCATCTCCATGAAGGACTTCTGAAAGCTTTGGACACATCATCTTATACATTGTGACCCCAGAGAAGAGCTTCTGTTTGCCAATTATTCCCACAAAATTCCCAGTGTTTATCTGTTCCCCCCCCCCCCGCCCCCCAGCCCAGGTCATTCTCGTCCCTGAACAAAACACAACGGTTGGGAAGGTGACAAAGCAGATAGCTAGCCCTGAAAGATGGTATAGCTACGCCTGAGCCACAGAGGTGACACAGTACTTCTCCCTCCCCCCACCAAAAAAATTGGGGGAATATATGACTAACAGAAAAAATAGCATTTTCACATCAGAGAGTTACCCACAGTCATCAAACTAGTTGAACCACCAACCTAAAGCAGGACTTTGTACAAAGGCAGACAGTGAGTGTAGTGGTTTGAATCCCAACTCTGTCCTTACTAACTTTGAGGAATTTATTTAAGACTCTCTGCTTTAAAAAAAAATATTTTAGAGGGAGAGAGGATGGGAGAGAGAGAGAGAGAAACATCAATTTGTTGTTCCACCTCTTTATGCATTGATTGATCCTTGTACGTGTCCTGTATGTGTCTTGTATGTATCAAACCTGCAACCTTGGCATATCAGGATGATTCTCTGACCAAATGATCTACCAGGGCAGGACAAGCCTCTTTGTTTCTGATCTGTAAAGTGGGGATAACAGAATCTGTCTCATAGGATTCTCAGAAGAATCAAATTAATTAAAATAGCTGAAGAGCTTAGAACAGTTCCCGGCAAATCATAAGTGTTAGCTCTGCAGTTGGCCAATGATACATAGACCCATAGGGATGGAAGCTGAAATGCAATGCTTCAGTCAGAACACAGACTTCTCTCAGAGGTGGCACTATGATGAGTGTGACCCTGTGGTGTTGGCTTGGGGCCAGAAGCCGGGTGGGAGAGAGATGGCTGTCTCGTGTTCTGTGGAGCTGTTGGTATGACCTGAGGAGGTAGTGACTCTCCCTGGATTCATCTGGGTGGGAGTCTCTAAAATGATGGCCATGCATCCCGTCTACTTCAGTCTTGAATTCCACCCAGAAAAACTGGGGGCCAGCTAAGGTGTGAGCATGTGCACTTGTCTTAAGTTTAGGGTATCCTAGAGGAAATTTCATTTTAATCCAAGTCAATTAAACAAAGAGTTTCTGTAGTCCAAGCACTCTGAGAAGACAGGAATATAAAGGAACACACGAACATGAGGGAAAAAGCATAGCACAATACAAACTATATGACAGATGCAAAGTGGCAGGTTAGGGAGGTTGGGGAAGAACTTACATCTGGGTGAAGAATTCATGGGGAACAGGACCGTGAAATCAGATGAATCGACAAAGCAGGGGTATCTCCCTCTGAGAAGCAGGGAGCACTGGGGGCACTGGGTAGGGAGAACAGAGCTGCTGGACACGAAGAGGAAGTGGAAGGGGTGGGGGAAGGGAGCTAGTCTCAGCCACTCCTCCCTCCATGGAGGGCCTGGGATGGTTATTTCTGGGTTTGGTGTAACTACACCTATCTCTGAGTTTCTGTTAAACGTATCCAGTGAAATAGCCAAAAAAGTAAACTATAAAACTATGGGCAATGCCTTCACATTTGATGGAAAGTGAGTTCTATCTTCCAAACTTTCAATCATATAAGAGGGTAAGTGAAAAAAAGTTATATACTAAACTCTAAAAACAAATACTTTTTAAATGTCCTTGACCATAAGGCAATGGGAAGATATACTCCATTGAAAAGAGAAAGTAAATCAAGAAAGAAGACAAGTAGACCCAAAATATAGGAAACGTACAAGGGAAATGGAGAGGATTCCTAGGATAACTATGAAGGAAAATTCCAGGTCAGCAATATACCACAGAGAGAAACTAATCCAGGCTGGAACAGGCTGGAAGGCTTCAGGAGATCTGTTTTCAAGAGGTTGAAATGACTAGAACGCTCAGTGCTTCTAAATCTTAAGAATGAGGGGTCTTCTGGTTTCTAGTTAGGCATGTGAAGAGCTTAGAAGTTGCCACTCCATCCCAACAACAAGTAGGAAGTCAAACAAACTGGAAAATCAACAACTCTTCTTAGAATGATGACAGAAGGTCACAGAGCAAATTCCCCCAACCTCTTAAACTGGAGCAACAGATATTTGGATAGAGTATTCTAACTTAGCACAGCAGAAAACCACAAACAGAAACCTGAACTGTTACTTGGAAACCTGACCTGTAATCGATGCATTGCTGGTGGCTCGGTGTGGGCAACTCAGAGATAAAAACGCCAGGGCATCCGGGCATGGGTGGGGGTGGGGTTGTGAGGCATACTTTTTATGAGTTTTACCTCCTTGAGCTCAATCAGTTTCTAACAGTTAACGTCAGAGAAGACTCCCTTCTTGCTTTCAGCATGGGGAGGGAACCCTTCTGAAACATACCAGAGCACCCTGTTCTTAACAAGATCTTTTCTCAGGAGAAACTAGTTCACCAGATCCTCAGTGGCCTGGGAGAAGGGAAAATACAGGCAGACCTTCTTTTGTTTTGCTTCACTTTAATCGCACTTCACAGGTGTTTTGTGTTTTACAAATTGAAAGCAAGTCCCTTCACCAGCAAAAACATTATAACTTGCTTTATTGCTGTGGCCTGGAGCTGAAACCGCAATATCTCCGAGATGTGGATGTGCTGGACTCCAGCCAGCTGTAGCCTTCCATGTGGGAGAAGGGGCATCCCAGCTCCAGCCCACACTAGCCACCCTGTTCCATCTAAGTAGAGAGGTGGGAAAAACAGTGACTCTGAAGTCCAGAGTTCAGGACACAGGCTCATTAGAACACTTTTACCTGGTGTAGCATGTCTGACGATCAAGAGCCTCTAGTAGAATTTCTTGAAACCAGTGCTTCCTGGAACCTAGTTTGAAAATGCTGGCTGTGAAATAGATGACAGTCTTTCAGCCTGTCCCCTTCTCATGGCAATGGAGCCTGTGAGCACGGCTGCAGCAAAATCCCTCACTGTGGGACAATAAAATATCTGCATGCCAAGAAGAAATATTGGGGCACTACTCCTCACCAAATTGGCCAAATAAGAATCTAGGGATTTTCCTGGACTACTCTCCTTCCCCTCACTTGACTTAATACAGGAATTTTTTTCTTAACCTAAAGCTTACTCACAGTTGCCCTATCATCAGTTCTCATCCTTGTCTATTATTTATATGCTGTCATCTTCAGTAATCCTCATAAGGAATAAACCTGGTCATTTAACTCTCCTACTTTAAGATCTCTTCCCACTCTCCCTTTTATTGGGATTGAATTGAAATCCTTCATTTTTCTTTCAAGGTCTCTAATAATGGTGCCCACCTGCCTAGTTGCCAACACTCTCTCTCCACCAGGCAGCAGCCACCCCAAACTCTTCACTGTTCCTGGATAGAAGATACCATTTCATAGCTGCCACCTTTAGACATACTCTTCCTTGAAAGTCTTGCTCTCCATTGTGCCTGGCCTCAAAATCAGCTCAAATGTCATCTACAGAAAGCTTCTAGCAGCCTCCACACCCACAGATACACAACATGACCAATACCCGATTCTCTCCAGGCTGCTTATGTAATTATCTTTATTAGACATAACATAAATCAGGTTGTTTTGTAATTAGATAGTCCAACCAGCTACACTTTAATCCAATCAACTGTAGTCCGGCCACATCTACTATAATTGCCCTCTGCAATCTAATCAGAACCTGAATGTCAATATAGTTCCCAAACCTCATCATCCCTCTTCCTGTTAGCTAACATTCAGCCCTTTAACTCAATCACCACTTCTAAATACCATAGCCAACCAGTCCCCAGAATTAAAGTTTAGTTTGAAACTCTTCTAAAAGACTGACTAGAAAAAAATAATAGAAGGAAGAAGATGTATTCTGAGAGTCTGAAATCCTGATTTTAAGAAGTATCCCCACAAGTTCAAGATGGTAACCCATTGTGGCCTCAATTCTACTGAAAAGTACCTCATCAAACTAAAAGCTACTACTTTACACTCTTTCAACTTTATTATTAACAATAACAACAATGACAAAAAGTGGGTGGGAGCAGCAGTCTGCTCCAGTGAATCTTAGATGCAGAATAAATTGCAAACTTTAATTTAGAGAAAATGTAGCCTCCTTTAAGGTTAGTTACCATCAATACAAATATGCTAACAAACAGCAGCAATTTTTAAAAATCCTACAAAATTAAAAAGCTACTGCTTTAATCGTTTTAACAGAAACAATTCCATTTTCATTGCAAACAAAACAAATAAGAAAACACATTTTGTCTTTACTGGTTTTCTACTCACCTTTCACCCCCACTATCGGGGGCAGATAACACTCTCCTCTCTGGCTCAGCTGGACCTGGAACAGCTGATGGCAGTCCAGTGTCTCTAAAGGTCTGGCCCTTCCCCGTCAGTCCAGATTGGGTCTAAGATGTTCCTCTGTTATGGTAGCAGTAAGGAATGAGTGGCCAGAGAGGAAATAAAGGAAGGGCCCTCACCATTACAATCTAACAAAGAACTCAATACAGGAGGCTAAAAGCAAAGGAAGACGTGTCTCACCCATTGACCCAGTAGTTTGGAGCCTGGTTCTATAAGGCTCCAGGCATTCCAAACAACAAGACAGTGAAGGAGAGGGGGAGCCCTTGAAAGTCTGCGTGTATCATCTCCTCTAGTTGGGAAAAGGAAAACCTTGGGACTGTGTATTTATCCCAAGGGATGGAAGGGAGAAGAGGAGGGGTCTACAATGGCCAAAGAAAAAGCCTATAAAACAACTTTGGTTAACTACCTGCCTTTGGTCACACATGCAAAATGAACAAATAGATTCTGGACCAAGATAAGGATACAGGCTAACAGACCCCCACCAATACAATACATTTCGGTAGTCATGTCCCCCCCAAAAGCTGGTACCACCTTTACCTGTCAATCAATATGTAACTCCCTTACACCCATCCTACAAACTATATAAGTCCTTAGAACAAAGGTCTGGCTCTTTTGGCTCTTGGCCCTTTTGCCACATGGGGGACCTCTGGACAGTCAACTTCTAGCCAGAGGGTCTCTGGCCATTCCCTTTTTTGGTCACCCAGTCTCTGGCCCCCCTGCTTCTGCCACCCCTGCTCTAGCCACACTTGCTGTGGCTCTCCTATTAGAACTTAGCACCAATAAACTTTGCTTGCATGCTAGTAGGCTTGCTAATCTATAATTTTCTACTGAGTCGGCAAGAAGAACTGAGTTTCTGGGAGTTTCTCTGTGACACCTCCCGGTAGCATCATCACCCAAGGATCTCTCCAGCAGCCATTACTGAATTCTGAACAAGTTTTCTGAGCAAAGTCACAGGACTGGGCACTCAACCATGTGCCCAAAAGAAAAACAAACAAACAAAAATCATCTAACCAACTGCTGCATGACTTGAACAAAATTCTGTAACCAGACCAGAAGTTCTTTATACGACATTTAAAAATAAACATAAAGATGACTTTATTGAATGCTTTCTAATGAGGGGAGTTGAGAAAAATGTCTTCCAACATTTTCTTGGGAGAAATCTAATATTTTGGCATGCTTGAGGGTAGAAGAAAAACTCTCAAGTGTTTAAATAGAGGGAAATTCAAAATACATTAGATGCAGAAAGCAACCCATGACTTTCATGTGTTCACTAGGAAAAAAAATACCTAGGTCCTGGCCAGGTAGCTAAGTTTATCAGAGTGTCATTCCAACATGCCAAGGCTGCAGGTGTGATCCCCAGTTAGGATGCATACAAGAAGTGACCAGCGAATGCATCCATAGGTGGAACAACAAGTCAATGTCTTTTTCTCTCCCCTTCCCTGCCTCTCTCTCTCTCTCAAATCAGTAAAAATTAAAAACTAACAGAAGGTTTCCAAGTAGATTCTGCACCAACTGCACCGTAAATGTCTCTGAGTTCTATGAAATGTAACTTTTTTCTTAGGTTTTTCTCCAAGTAATACTAATGCACGGTTTAAAAAAGAAGTGATGCTAAAAGGATTATTTTAACACACAAAACAAAAGCAAGCAGTTGTTGCCCTGGCTGGTGTAGCTCAGTGGATCGAGCGCGGGCCCGCAAACCACAGGATTGCGGTTCGATTCCCAGTCAGGGCCCATGCCTGGGTTGCAGGCCAGTTCCCAGCAGGGGACACATGAAAGGCAACCATACATTGATATTTCTCTCCCTCTCCTCTTCCTTTCCCCTCTAAAGATCAATAAATAAAATCTTAAAAAAAAAAAAGAGCAAGCAGTTGCCAATTTTATCACTGTTTTTTTTCCTAGAAGCAACCACTTTCAATCCTTTTTACATTTTTCTCCTATTTACCTTATTTTTCAATATCACTTATATTGCTATTTTATGACTAACAATTTTATTTTATATATTGGCTT